TACACTACACTCGAGTCAAAGCCACAAGATGGCACTTGAGCACAGAAGTTCACAGGTCTTTGTGTGGTCGTGCCAGGTAGCTGCAGGTGGGGCAGAAAGTTGAGTTGTGATGCAGCAGGGCAGCTTAGTTTGCAAAGGTCTGACGCACAGCGTTGGCAATGTGCTTGGCACTGATGCCGAAAATGTCGAGCAGCTCTTGGGGCTTTCCGCTTCGGGGAACACCGCTCACTGCAAGCCGCGTCACAACAATGCCGGGCTCCTCGCCCACTGCTGACAGCACTGCTTCACCGAGACCACCTAGACAGAAGAGACAGACCAGAGGCCAACAATGCATCAGTTCAAGCTCTTTTGTTAGCACATCCACAAAGCAGGAACCAGTCAGTTTGAAACACCAGGAAATGACATGAGATGGCCTCTTATTGGACCCTTGCAGATTGAGAAAAATCACACTTAAAATCTCACTACTGGTGGTCAACCTATAGTACTGAAGTGTTTATACAATTATGGTCTCTGGTGTATTTTTTCAGAAGAATCAAAGTCTGGCAACTCTCAAACCTCTCTAGCACATAACCGGCACACACAAGCACAAAAAGAGAAAACAACCCACCCTCCTTGTAGTGGTCCTCTACAGTGATGATCTTTCCCCCTGTGGCTCTGGCACTGGCCAGAATGGTAGAGGCGTCCAGGGGCTTGATGGTGAACGGGTCAATCACACGGATGTTCTTCCCTATAGGAATTAATTAGGAAATTAGTCATTTGGAAATGTTCATGAGGCCATACTAACAAACTGAGCAACTAAAGACTCAATAATTCTCCCTTGAAATACAAAAAAAAAAAAAAGTTGTGGATGGTGGCTACAAAATGTAGGCCTCAATACTTACATCGATCCACTAGAGGGCAATGTGAGCTTACCTTCACTGGCCAAAATATCAGCAGCAGCAAGGGCCTCATGCAGAGTAATACCAGCTCCAACCACAGTCACATGATCTTTGTCAGACTGGCGAACCACCTGGTGAAGGAGACATTTATCTATTGATCAATTTTTCCTGGTACACAAGATTAGTAGGTTTATAGTCATGGCAATGCCAATTTACCTTGGCTACGCCCACTTCAAACTTCTCATCTGGAGAGTAGAGGACTGCAGTCTCTGGTCTGCTGGTACGGATGAAACAGATACCCTGAGAACAGAGGAGTTCAGAGTGTTACTCCCCCATCGCTGGGATGACAACTTGCTGCACAAACTACCACAATGTGGCCTACCAACCTTTGTGTTGGCCGCTAGCTCAATAGCTCTCTCTGTGGACACTGCTTCACTGGGGTAAAACACAGTGCATGTTGGGATAGCGCGGAACATGGCCAAGTCCTCTAGGGCCATCTGGGAAGGGCCGTCCTCACCTGAAGGCAAAGTCAGATCAGTCAGGGAATAGGGGTGCACTTAATCTGCCCTTTAGGGAAAGAGTGACGCTTCAGCAGAGAGCTTACCGATGGAGATTCCGCAGTGGGACCCCACCAGGTTGACGTTTGACTGGGAGATGGCGCCCATGCGGATCTGGTCATAAGCTCTGGAGAAGAAGGCCGCAAACGTGCTGGCAAACGAAACCGTGCGGTCACGGGTGGCACAGCCAATGGCTACTCCTACCTGCAGCAGCAAGCCAAGACATCAGAAATATGGGTTAGTCTTCATGACAGTGGAGGTGACCGTAATCTGCTCACAAGTGACATGCAGCAGTCAGAGGCTGGGATTACCATGCTAGAGAATGAATAGTAACAGATTAGACCAATGTGGAGCAGATTATGAGTATAGAGTTCATCCCTCTTTCATAACTTGGAGTTAATCCTGTCTGACTTTTGTAACTTAACTTCAAAAAGAGGCTACAGCTTTTAAATAAAGAAATATTACGCACCATGTTCTGTTCAGCGATGAAGCACTCAATGTAGCGTTCAGGGAAGGCCTTCTTGAAGGTCTCTGAGAAGGTGGAGTTTTTGGTGTCTCCATCCAGGGCCACCACTCTCTTGCTTGACTGGCCCAGCTTGGCCAGTGCCACACCATATGCACGCCTTGTTGCCATCTGACAGGGCAAAAAGGAAAAGAGTGTAAGTAAAGACAGTTGAACAAGGTAGATAAAGACATCTTAAAGTGCTGATATCAGTATGAGGAGAGGCAACCACCCACTAAGCAAACAAGACTTATGCTAAAACATGCTTCAAGCGTCCCTAAAAAGGAAAAGGGTACCTTTTCTCCAATTTTGTATGCTGGGGGTGAAGGCAGGGTGATAGGGCTGAGGTCTGCAGGAGCTGTGTCATCTTCAGGCAACTCAGGGCACAGGCTCTTGTTGGGGACCTGGATCTGAGCCTGTAGGTCCTTCAGGAGCTCATCCACCCTGTCCTTGGGGATGGGCTTTCCATGCCAGTTATCCAGATCCTCAATATCTACAGGACAAGGAATGAAAAGCTATCAATCAAACTCACAGGACAGAAGAATAAAACAGTTCAGTAAATATACAAATATTCACCATTTGAAAAACCGCACTTACTTTTGAGGCCTTTGCCCTTGAATGTCTTCGCAACAATGCAAGTGGGTTTGCCCTTGACCTGCTTAGCCTGCCAGAAAGCTTTGCACAGCTCCTCCACATCATGTCCATCCACAACGTACGTGTTCCACCTACACAAGACACAGCTCAGCATTTAACAGCATGTCACACAGTACAACAAATATTAACCCAAAACATGGGACGTATTAACTTGTTAACATATCAGGCATCAGACTTATTAATTGGGTGATGGGAGCAGCAGTAGAAGGGTCAAAAGGCTGCAGGAGGATAGAGAAAAATCCAGAAAGCACGTGAAAGAGATGCCTGAGAAATGGCCAAATGAAATTTCAACCCAAGAAGTTTAAGTAAGATAAGACAATATTACACCCCATAGAAACAGCTTTTGAAACGATAGGTTGGCCTTGATTAGACAAATACATTAAAAAAAAAAAAAAAAAAAAAAAAAAAGGGTTACCATTAGATCAAAGTGTTTACTAGGATAGACGGTGGAGAAGTGGAGGAACGGAAAGTCGACGTTATGTACTGACCCAAAGCCTTCACAGCGCTTGCGGTAGGTCTCCATGTCGTGCTTCAGGGGTGCCGCCTCACTCTGACCGAGCCGATTCACATCCATGATAGCCACCAAGTTGTCCAGCTGGTAGTAGGAGGCAAAGGCCATGGCCTCCCACACTGAGCCCTCTGAACATTCTCCATCACCCATCATGCAGTATACACGGTAGCTACAACACAAAAAGGTCAGATCATAAGACCGGATTCCTTATACTGACAAGACATGATACTTTACTGGAAGCAATGATTCATTATGTCTTTAAACTTATATATTAGAGTTGGAAAACAATAAAGATTCAAAGAGATTTTAATTTGTAAAGTTTATACCCGTTAATACAAGAAGTGCCCCAATACACATGACGATGTGAGCTATAAACTACCTTAAATTCCTGGAGGACTCCTTAGAATCAACAGAATTATTGGACATGAATATTCAATATTCCATGAATCATTCAGTAATACTTCCACTATCTTGAGTAGTACTCTGTTGCAGCAATGCAAACACCTTTTGACCTCACTCCCTGGCTGGAGCCTGCAGTAATTTAAATCAATTACAACTACACCACTCCAGATTTAGCCATCAGACACATTATGGTGCATCAGGCTCTACATTAAAAGAAAGTAGCTCTCTGCCAACAGGTCAAGACATTACACAATTATTAAAACACTGTTTTGAATAGAGACCCCTGCTTTCAAAAAGGAAACTGGAAAACTGTACAAAAATGTTCCAGATTATATACCAGTTTTAAAAAGCGATAATGAATCCACAGTTTTTGTAAACATACCTGGATTTGTCAAAGTGTTTGCCAGTGTAGGCCATCCCACAGGCAGCACCGAGACCCTGACCCAGAGATCCTGTAGCCACATCAACAAATTCCAGTTTCTGGTGGATAGGATAAGGGGGGGGGGGATTAACAAAAATACATACTAGATTTAAAAAGTGACATGTACATCATATTCTGTCTGTTCTCCAGGGAAGCAGCAACACCAGAAAGGATCTCTGGATTTTTGACTTACTGGTGTGGGGTGGCCCTCCAGTTCACAGTCAATCTTGCGCAGGTTGAGCAGATCAGACTCCTTCACAAAACCTGCTTCTGCCCAGGCCGCATACAGGATAGGTGCAGCATGGCCCTAGAGACAGGCGGGAGAAAATCTTTATAGACAACAGCGTTGTCAAATCTCAAGTGCCCTGGCCAACTAAAGACTATCTACACATCTCATAAACAAAGAAATGCCAACCTTTGAGAGCACAAAGCGGTCGTTACACTGGTTGCGAGGGTCATCTGCTTTGTAACGCATGGTGTTGAAGAAGAGCACGGACATGAGCTCTGCAGCGCTGCAGCATGATGTGGGGTGACTGAGGAGAGAGAAAAAAGAAAACTTAATTCACAGTAGAGACGCCATTATTTAAAAAATAAAATACATTCACACACCGTGCACATACATGCATGTGTTTCTACATTCGGGAATCCTTGCATTTTGTTTTAGTTTGAAAATAAAACCACTGATGTATCAGTCATTCCAGGAGAGCCATTCCAAGGGACGAATCTGTCCTATCTTTTGGGATTAGGAATATCACTAATCAGTAGATTGTTAATCTGCAACATGACCACATCAGTTATGTTACCACACTTGAGAAAACCTAAAAAAAACAAAACTAAAAACAATAAGCAAACTTGTGAAACTGTTAGTTGCTGCATATTGGTCCAAGTATTGTAATAGACATGTTTAGAAATCCCACATTACTCAACAGCATCTCAGCTTCCCTATGTGGGTTAAATTACAAATGGCATCATTTAAAACCATGCCAGAAACACACAGTTATCTTATTCAAACACACATCATGGTCACTGTTATTTATAAAACAAACAAAAAACCTAGTGCCTTGTTTACCCATTATCCTTTTGCTGAGCGATAACCTGCTGAGAAATAAACTGTAGTAAATTCATGAAAGCCATAACAATGCAATCAGATGCTCAAGTGTAATGTTCCATATTCATCAATAATGAGGAACAACGTGTGTTGAGAGCAGGGTGTCAAAACTCAAAGACACCCTTTGTTAAGAGGAGGCGGGAGTATCAGAACATCAGACGCCTGATCGCTACGGGCTTTCAGGACAGAACCCATCCACTTCCTCGTCCGTTGACACAAGGAAGTGACAAACGGGTTTGAAAACAAACCTTTATTTTGGGAGGTTGCAGTTGCCTCACGGCTGAGATTACATAAAACCGGATTTTCTGGGAGGATGCATTTCAAATACAATGAAAGTTTGTTTCTAACTATGTAGACAGTCTGAATGCAAGATTCTAGCCAGGTGATTGACAGATAACACATATAAAACTAGTTCAAATGTTGTAGCATTTGAGTCCGTATTTAACAAACATGTGCTTATTTCCCCACACTGTTCTGGTTCAGATTCTGGAAGACAAGGAAGGGGGGGGGAAGGAATGGCAGCAAGAATAATCTCTAGATCACATAAACTATAACCTGTCAAGGAGGAAACTGTGTAAACCATTTCCCGCTTGGACATGGCGTCAATAAAACAGGTGACATTTCCTCCAGTGAAGAGGAAGACGTCAGGTTGCTCCTGGCAGTTAGGATGAAGCAATGCCGCCCTTTTGATGGCTACCTCACTTGACACAGATTTATTTTTTTCTTCCTGAGATCATCTCTCAACTGGTGTGACTAACATTGTGTACATTTTAAGATGCAGCTGCGACTTTAAAATCGGAGCCACGAGATTCATCTTCTGGCGTGATCATGTGATTTCTTCTCGTTGGCTAGCAACAAGCAGCTCGGTGCTAATTAAGTTTCACCAAGCGACTTTACTAACGTAGTCACAGAGTTATCATACAGTATGAATCACCAGCTAACCTGCACTGACTGTAGCAACCAACTAAAGTTAACGTTACATACAACTGCCGTTTGTTTTCATTCATGTCAACGTCTCAAACACACACACACACACAGTTATCTTATGCTAATCCCAGGAACTGTTACACTAGATTCACAAAGCAACTTGTAACGTTCATGTAACGTTCGTG